GTGATACCGCGGGCGAACCAGCCTCAGGCGAGAGCCTTGGAGGAAAAGACGCTATTCATTTCCAGATTCACTTGTTTATTGTAGTTGATTCGACGATCATCTGATTGCATTCACTCCCGCGAGTAACCCCGACGAGACCGACGCAAGAAAGACGGCACCAAGACGGCCAGAAGAGCGCCCAAGAGGCGCCCAAGAGCGCTCCGAGGAGGACAGAAGTGGCGCTTAGGGGGCTCTGGGTGGGGCAATGGGCCCCGAGATGGCCTTGCGAAGGCGCCGCGATCCCCCATCACCCAGCAACAAAAAAATGTCAAGACCACCCACGGGCCACAACGGTTTCCAAAATCGTTCCACGATGGCTTCAGGATGTCCCCACAAGGCTTCCAAAAGTGTCTAGGAGCAAAGGGTCCGCGAAGGTTTTTCTTGGTTCCCCCTTTTTTATATATAAAGAAAAAAACGCACTGCCCCAGCGGATGGACTGCCTACGCCCGCGACGCCAAAGACACGGACGCCGACGGACACGAAGACGACCGATGGTAGTGTGTTGTCTACGACCACCAAGCCACAAACACCTACACATACCGATTCCCAAACGACCATATGCTCCTGCCAGGTCGGCACGGGCACCTGGACAAGTACAACAACGAACTCTCCATGCACCGAGACTTGCAACAATGCCTTCCACACCTTCCACTACGGCCCGACTCACGCGCACCACCTCTCGACTTTCAAATTACCATTCACAGGACGAAACCAAATTCTTCATACTCAAGAACGCAATACATGCCGACATGTGCCTGCCACCTTTGAAGCCCCCTTCGCAACCGACCACGATTCCGATTGGACAACGTTTTCTGACGCCCGGTAGGCCGAAAGAACGAATGGTAACAAATCTTACAACTTTGAAGCAATAGTGTTTTTCGGGTTCGAGCGCGTCTTGGAGGTACCTTTCGGGTCGTTTCAGGACATCCGACGAGGGCCAAGGCCAATGTGATGTCAGTTTGGACCTTCTAGGGCGTGTTGTGGGTCTTCCGCCGGCCGCCTTGGGGTCAGTTTGGGGCGGTCATGGAGCCGCTCGTGAGCAGTTTAGGAGCCGTCTTGGGCCCCCGCACGGCTTTTCTGGAGTCGGGAAAGGTTTTCGGTGCTTCGCCTTCGTTCTCGGACGCTTGGCACACCGAATGAGGAAATAGTCGAAAAGAGTTTCGAGCGCCTCTTGGAGGTGACATTCGAAGCGCCTTCGAGCATCCAGCAAGGGCCTGGACCGCATGATGCCATCTTGGACCGTTTGTGGCGTCTTTTCTAAGGCCTTGCGCCAGCCGTCGTGGGGTCAGTTTTGGGCAGTCATTGGGTCTTGTGGGCAGTTTGGGGACCGCTTCGGGCGCTCATGGGGTACACTTGGGCCGTCTAGGAGCGCTTGCCAGCGCGTTTCCAACATTCTCGGACGCGTGGAAGGCCGAATTAGCGAGCATCCACCGAAAATCATGCAAAAACCATGAAACATCTATGTTTTGGGGTTCGAACGCTTCTTTGGGGTGAGATTGGGGTGATTTTCAGGCATCCGGCGGAGATCAAGGCCAGCTGGATGCCATCCTAGACCGTCTTGGGTGGCTCTTGGGCCTTTCGCCGATCGATTTGGGACTGCCACCCGCTTGCGCGCACGCTTTTGCAAGGATTTTCGGCCTCCCCCCGTGCCACGGATCCGGGGGGTCTCGTTTCGGGGGGGAGGTCGCACCCCCCCGCATATAAGAATAGAACAAACAAACAAACAACAAGCGAGAGGGCATGCAACAGAGGCGTAGGGTGAAAGCGAACGAGTCGTTCGCTTTCACCCTACGACGGCGCGAAGGAACCAAACAAACAACGCCGAGGGGGGCCACTGAAAACCATCCAGGGCCCATCGCAAACGTGCAGACCCTCCAGGAGGAGGAAGAGGCAGGATGGTGATGACAGGGAGGAGGGGGAGGAGCAGGAGGAGCCGCAGAGAGGCCACACAACCAGCGGCAGCTAGGCGCCCGCTGGGAGCGGGACCACTGCAGGGGAAAGGTGTCGAGGAGGGGGGATATGGCGGGGGCGACGACGAACACAGACGAGGAGAGCGTGTTCAGAGAGCTAGCGGAGGAGGGCGACGAAGAAACCTTGAAAGAGGAGGAGGAGGAGGAGGAGGAGGGACAAGGATCGGGGAGATGAGAGGGGAGGAGAGGAGAGGAGGGGGAGGAGGTGGAGGAGGAGCAGGAGGAGGAGGGTGAGGGGGCAGGAGGAAGAAGAGAAGGACACCGAACCGCACCAGGAAACGAAACATAAATGGATGAGATAGAACAAGCAGGGGAAAAAAGGTTAATAAGGAGAAGGGCGAGTGAGATCAGGAGGATGACTAGGAGCAAGGAAAGAAAGAGGACAACAAGGAGGAGGAGCAGTAGGAGGGAGAGTGTGGAGGAATAATCGCAAAAGGAACCTGTTTACAAGGCCGTCACAAAGACAAGGTATGCGTAATCTTCCTCACCAGGAATCAGGTTGCAACACGCTAAAGGTGCAAGGCCGCCTTGACATGAAGATGCTCGTATCGTCACCCACCGCAGAAGGGATTTGTCACCACATGTCGAAGTTACGCGTACACGAATTGCCCCATAATCATGTTGTGTTGGTTTTCGCCGCAATTGTCATGCGTGCGGTTCTCGTTGTGAGTAGGGGGTTGTTGTCTCTTGTGCCTTCTCCTCCTCCTCCACCATCCTCCTCCTCGTCCTCCTCCTCCTCCCCCTCCTTCTTCCCCCTCCTCCTCCTCCTCCTCCTCCTCCTCCTCCTCCCACCTCATAGTTCCCACCTGCCTCGCGGATGCCTCACACATTGCTTCCCCGGGCGTTCAGTTGCGTAACCGTCGCCTCTGGCAGGTCCAGCAGAGCGACCTCCCGAGCAGCTCCGAACCAACCTCGCCCGCCTTGGTGGGGCGGCCAGCTGCGCAGCTGTCGCCACGTTCGTGGGCCCCCTGGCACGTCCAGCGGAGCGACGTCCTCTGCGGGTCCAAGTTCGGCACCGCCCGCCCTGGGGGTGGTGGGTGCTGTCAAGTGCGCAAGTGCTGCCACGTTCGTGAACCCCTGGGGGGGTCCAGCGGAGCGCTGCCAAACGCACATCCATGCAACCTCCCCCTCCTCCTCCGTGGGGGCCGTCCGGTGCGCCGCCGTCGCCACGCTCGTGAGACTGTGAGAGGTTCAGCGGAGTGCCATCCCAAGCAGGTCCAAAATATACCTCGCCGCCCCAGGAGGCGCACCAGGTGCGCAACGCATCGCCACTCTCGTGAGCCCTTGTGACCTGCTCCTCCCGCGCCCCTTCTCTCTCCCCCCAATGTAAACAAAAAACGAAGAAACGCAAAACAGCAAAAACAACAACAACAACAACAACAACAACAACAACAACAACAACAACAACAACAACAACTTCCGCCACAGCGGAGATAGCTTCCCGCAAATAGACATGTGGATTCGAGTGGGTGCGGTTTATCCGTCCCGACAGGAGCGGTATCCACCTTACCAGCGACGTTCGCTTCAGATCCGTCCAGACCTTCAGCAGTGAAGAGCCGCAGGCTCCGTCTGCCGTTGCCCGCCTTTGGCGGCATGAGCGCTCTTGACAAGAGCAACCTCGCGAGGTCGGTGACGGCGCTGCTCGTGAAGGGGCACACGCACGCTGCGGAGGCCATGCTGGACTCAACTTCGCAGCAGGGTCCAAGGAATGTATGCAACAAGATGTTTTACCACAAGCTCATCCACAGCTGCGCCAAGATGGGCAGCCCCGACGGCGCCTGCTGGGTGCTCGAGCGCATGGTGCGGCTGGGCATGCAGCCCAATTCCGTCACCTTCAACAGCGTGATGGACGCTTGTGCGAAGGCAGCGAGCCCCCAGCGAGCAGCCTTTTGGTTCGACCAGATGCTGGCAAGCGACGTCAAGCCCAACGGCATCACGTACAACACCATGATGCGTTGGCGTGTGCCGCACCGCCTGCCCCTTGGGGTCCTCTGGCGCGCCTCGCAGGCTCGTCAGTGTGCGCCGCTGCCCGCCGCCCACGCATCCTGCCGTCTCTGTCGGGCTTTTCGCTCTCGCCGTGCAAGCTGTCTTCTTGGGTGTGTTGCACGCGAAGCACAACACCAGGGGGGCATCGGCCCAAGTAGTCCTCAGTTGGCTGGAGACTCAGAAATCGAGTAGCTTTCGGGCCAACACGTCATCTTGCCAGGGATCTGGGTCAGAGGTAACTGAGTTGTGTCTGACAGTCGTTCGGGATGCGTCTTGGAGACCTCATGGGAGGGTCTGGAGTGGAAAGGTCCTCAAGGCCAGTGCGATTTCCCCTTCTTCCAGCCTATGGGGACGTCTTGGGGCCTTCTGGGCCGTCCTGGGGCTCTCTCGTGGGCCGTCCTGAAGGTCTTTTGGGGTCCTGATGGGGCGACCTTGGGGGTCTCTTGGGCAGTCTGGGGCGTCCTGAAGCGCAAGCACGTGGCTACCCCCAAATCATTGAACTTTTAGGGGAATTCAGGAATTCGAGCCCGTCAGGCCCTCTTGGGGGTCTTTTGGAGCATATTGGGTTCCTCGGGGGCCGTTGTAATGCCGGCTTGTCCGTCTTCAGGCCTTCTTGGGAGTTGTCTGAGGTTCTATTGGAATGTTCTCGGGGAAATTCTTTAAACGTTGGGTTCGCTGGGCACGTCGGCCGGGACCTTCCCCTCCACATCTGCCAGACCGGGTCTTGGGGGAGGGTCGATGGTTTTCCAGGACGTGTGTTAGCACAGCATGTGTTTACCCTGGTCAGCTACACATACAGATAGCACGTAGTTCAGCTTGGTCTTCATTGCGCCTCGCATTGAAGGGCGTCGGTGAACAGGCACACGTTGCCGCCGACACACGTTCTGGGGACAATCAAGAGCGGCTTGGGGAGGGGGATCAACTTCACACGCGGAGGAGCCCCGAAGAGGTCGGCGAATCAACGCTTGCGCTCGCGCCCGCGACACAGCCGGCGCGGAGGCCTGGATGAGGAGGATGATCGACGATGGCATAGAGCCCGGGGTCTTGTCCTTCGGCGCTGTGATCGACGTGTTCGCGAAGGCCGGCAAGGTGAATTCGGCGCAGGCGTGGTTCGAGGAGATGTTGAGGTTCGGCGTGCGCCCTGATACAGTAATTTTCAACGCTCTCATCAACGCCTGCGCAAAAGTATCGGATCCAGACAAGGCGGAGTTTTGGCTAATGCAGATGAAGGAAGCCAACGTGATGCCCGACGAGAAGACATACAATAGCGTCATCAACGCGTGCGCTAAGCTGGGCCTCGTGGATCGAGCCGAGCATTGGTTCGGTCAGATGGTTCAGAACGGCATCAAGCTCGACACTATCGGATTTGCAGCTGTCATCCATGCCTGTGCAAAAGTTGGTGATGTGGACAGGGCAGAGAAATGGTTCATGGAGATGCGTCGCAACAGGATCGCTCCGAATCTCGTGTGCTTCAACACCATGCTGCATGCGTGCGCGCAGAAGGGCGACTCCTATACAGCTGAAGTGTGGTTCCGCAAGCTGAGGTCCATGGGCTTCGAGCCAAATAAGATCTCGTTCAACAGCCTGCTCAACGCCTCCGTGAAGCAGGGGAACATTCCGCAGGTGCAGCATTGGCTGGAGATGATGGTATGCAGCGGGATCCACCCTGACGGCGTGACCTTCTGGACCTTGGCCCGCGCTTTCTCTCCGCCGGGTGTGGATGTGGACTCGAGGACTGGCGACAGCCAGGTCCTGGCCTGCAGCGCGATCATCGAGGCGTACAGCAAGGCTGGAGACCTTGACGGTGCCAGGTACTGGGTCGATCAGCGCACCAGGGCGCGCCGTGATGGCGGGACCACGCTGGAGTCGCCCGTGGACCCGACGCCGAGCGATGCCCGCCAGCCCACCCGAGCCCGCGAGCCCTCACAGTACGTGGCGCGCCCCTGGCTCTCGCGGAACAAACGCTGCGTAAGTATACTCTTGAGTTCTGCGCGGGTTTATGGGATTCACACAGGTCGTTGGAAGTAGGTATCTTTGGATCCCCTGACTCCAATCTGTCTTATGCGCTTATCTGCTTCAACGATCGAGTGACCTCACCTCTTCCGTCCTCCTCTTAGGGATTGGACGGAGCACAGTCTATGTTCAACGCCTTCCTACTTCAGTGATCGAGTGGCTTCACCTCTTCCGTCCTCCTCTTAGGGATTGGAGGGACACCGCATCTATGTTCAACGCCTTCCTGCTTCAGTGATCGAGTGGCTTCACCTCTTCCGTCCTCCTCTTAGGGATTGGACGGAGCACAATCTATGTTCAACGCTTTCCCACTTCATGCTTCTACCCTGAAGTCGGGCCTGTCCCTCTGCAAGGGGAAGATTCAAAGATAGTCCAAAAATAGTCTGTGGACGATTTGTTGGCTATTTTGGGGTACTGTTGGGGTATGTTCTGGGTATTTTTCATTTGTCGACCAAAACCCCCCTGTAGGGGGACAGGCCCGACCTATGGATCTCCGACGAGCGGAGGGAGGGAGGGGCGGGGAGGGGAGGGGAGGGGAGGAGGGTTGGATGGGGAGGAGGGGTGGATGGGGAGGGAGGGAGAAGGGAGAACAGGGGAGGGGGGGAGGGGGAGGAGGGAGGCGAGAGGATCTCCTGCGGCATGACGCTTCCCCCCCCCCCCGATAGATGTGCACTGGATCGGCGCTGGGCCCCCCCTGGCGGCGCCTCCCGCGCCGCCCCCTGCCGCGCTCCGCGCGCGCCCCTCCACTAAATCCGCGCGGACCTCCGAGAGGTGATGCTCACCCAGACCTCCTCGCGCTGTGACAAAAGCACGACGAGAGGTTCGTCGCTATGTTTGGCCTCCCGGGGGCCCTTACCGGGCCTCGGGACCGTCAGAAAACGACTCGGGATGCAGAACCGGTCCCGGGGAAGGGGTCCAGACCTCTGGGGGTCGACGCTGCGAAGAAATCACGACGTCGGGGGTCTGGGCATTCACAGGGAAAAACCACCTCGACCGGACAGCTTGCGTTTACTACTGAAAGCACTGCCCCGTTCGATGTTCTTTCTTTGGGCGCGTTTGCGAAACGGCCTCGCTTGTCGGGATGTTTTGCCTTCTAATTCTGCCGCACGCCCTGATGGCGTCCCGCTAAAGTCAGCCACGTGCAGAGGGGGGTGGGGGAGGGGGGAGGGCTTCTCAGAAGCCTGCTTCTTAGAAGGCGCGGGCCTTATCTATAGGCTAGCTGTAAGGCCGGCGCCTTCTCAGAAGCAGCCTCCTAAGAAGCCCTCCCCCCTCCCTCCACCCCATTGCGCGCCCCGCCTGCAGAGGGTTCTCGTGGAGCTTGCAGGACCACAGCAGCGTCCCACCGGGGGACGGGGAGCCCAAGGACCGCTTGGTCCGGCCGCCTTCTTGCCCGAGACTTCCTTGCTTCATGCAGGGCTCGTACCCTCGGATCTCGCCTCGATCCCTGCTACATTTTTGTTCCAGACGGCCACGATCCCGAATTCCGGGGCGGCAACGAGGGGGGTGATGACTAAGGGGCGTGGATATCGTGGCGGGGGCCATGATATTTCCCCAGACATCATGGCGCCTCTTCTTATTTCATCACGTCCCTGGTCTCCCCCCCAAGGGGCGCGCACATGCCGCCGGCCATGATTTGCGCCCCCCCTCTTGGACGCCCCCTTCTTGGCCGCCCCCGACGAATGAAAAAGGAAACGGTAAGGTGCACGTGACCGTGCTCTCATCCCCGTCCCGGTTACATCTTCCGTTGGAATATTTAGGAGTACGCAGGAGTAAGCGTTTTCTGTGGCCGATGTCCTACGCCTCGACCCGCCTCCTCACCTTTGCTACTATTAGGGTGCCTTGCTGGGGCAGTGTAGGGCGACGAGGATCTATACAGATCCTCCGCCGCTGGTCAGGCCAGCGGCCGTGGATACGTATAGACTTCTGCGCCCCATGATGCAATTTTTGTTCTCCTCCAGGCTCGGCGCCCCAGAGGTTGCGTTGCCCGAGCCCTGTGCCGACGCCTGCGCCGACTCCTACGCTGCGGGCGCTGTCGCGGGCTGCTACCCCGGTGCGCCGTCGCAGCCCCCCGCACCGCCGGCCGCCTGGCTCTAGGACGCTGGGCGCAGGCCGCACCCGGAGGCGCGCTGCTGCTGGCGGGGCGGCACGCAGGAGCCCTCGACATGCACCTTCCGCGCATTCGTGCGGCAGGTGCCGCGGCCGCCGCGGCGGCATCCTCTGCGCGGCAGGCGCAGGTCGAGGGAGCTTCGGGTGTCGCTAGGAAGTGCCCCCGGGGCCAGGGTGCCCCCAGGATTCGCGGGGCGGCCCAAACGGCCTCCAAAGCGCCCCTCACGAGGCCCAGAGGGCCCTCACGAGGCTCCAAAGTTCGGGGGCGGAAAAGATGGGGGTGATGACTAGGGGGTGGATATCATGGCGGGGGCCATGATATCTCCCCAGATTTCATGGCGCCTCTTGTTTCATCACGTCCCTGGCCCCCCCGCTGGGCCGCGCACATGCCGCTGGTCATGATTTGCACCCCCTCCTCTTGGACACCCCCCTCTTGGCCGCTCCCGAAAAGTGGAGCGAGAAGCTGGGGGCACCTGGGGCCAGGGGCACCTCCTCGCAAGGCCCGAGAGGCACGTGGGCGAGAGGCATGTGCGCATCCGCGGCCCCGCGGGCCGAGCCCCTGGGCCGGGACTCCGCGGACGCAGGGGCGTGCTGCTCGCGGGTGCCCCGCGGAACGCACCCGTGCGGCCGCGGAGTCCGCGGGGTCGGGGCCCCCCAGGAATTACGGGACGTGAAAACGACCACAGCCATTGTTTTTCTCTTTTGTTGCCGCCTCCCAGCCAGCAGAAACAAAGCAGTGGTTGTGGTCATTTTCGTTAAGCTTGGCACCAGGGAAATGACCACAACCACTGCTTCTTTTTCGGCCAGCTGGAAGGCGGCGCAAACAAGAAGCAGTGGCTGTGGTCACTTTCCCGTCCCGCAGGAATCCAGACGGCGAGGTCGCGGATGCCGACATGTTCGCCAGTCTGGGGAGGGGGCCGCTGCAACTCTGCCGTAGCCGTCGTTTTGGCCATGTGTCGGGCCCAGGGGCCCGCACAGCTCGATCTGGCTCGAAAAACGGCGCAGAAAGATGGGGCGTTGGATTCCGGTCGCGATATTCTTCGATGTTGTGCTATTTTTCGCAATGTCAGATCTCAGGGATGCCGCGCGGGGGGGGGGGGGGGCGCTTTCAGATAATTGAAGGAGAACAGAGATTGCACAGCTTCGAATGTTCGTGCTTATATTGTGTTGTGAGCCCTCTATAGAAGTCAGGGGGCATTTTGCAATCTTTCCGCCTGCTTTGGAGCCGTCTCAGAAGACCCTCGACCCGTCTAAGAAGCCAATTGCTTTCTTCGAAGGACGCCCCCCTCGTCCAGCTCCCTCTCGGCGCACCGCCACGCAGAGGCGCAATATTGGTGCACATCCGCGGCGCAGCCGTTGTGCGTTTCACACTTTATTTTGTGCGAAGTGCCGTAGGCTCATTGGCTAGCGTCAGAGCCTCACGGGGACCCTGCCTCCAACGCACAACCGTCGACGCACGCGTGGTGTAGAACACTTGTCGTTGGTTTTGCCGGCAGATGGATCCAGCCTGGTGCCACCAACAGAGCGCGCACCAAGCCCACGCCCAATGCACACCAGTCTCGCGACTGTCCGTTTAATCATCTGCTCCGGCGAGGTCGCCATCTCGTCGACCCGTCTCTGGCAGAACAGCCAGGTTTGGTCGACGGTGGCAGAATTCCCATGTCGATCAAAGTTTCCACGAGCATGCCGACCGAACGCCCTCAGATTGGCCCAGATTTGGCATTGACATGATCATTTCACTTATCGGATTCCGTTTCACAGGTCCAAGTATCCGAGATGGCACAATGGTTTGCCATGTTTTGAGCCAGGACGTTCAATCCGTTTTGGCTTGGTCGTTCGGGCTAGCTTTAGCCCAAATGTTCGACAAGTGTGCGGCCACCAGTCTGAACCAGGTCCCGTCGGATAGTTCTGTCGGATTAAGCGCGACTCCGACAGAGCGGGGACTGCATTTATGCCATAGGCTCCTCCTCCTCCGCCTCCGCCGACTCCTCCTCCGCCGACTCATTGCCAGCGTAAAACTTTGGTCACAGTCCGAACTGTACCACCATCCCACACATTGTGTGCGTCGCACTCGCAGTTTTAAGTGCCTGTCGCGCTCCAGCTCTTCCTCCAACCAGCGTACGAGAAGAAGGGCACAACCCGGAGATCTTGGCACGGCAACTCTGCCACCTCTGGCGCTGTCGCCCAGCTGCGGGCCCCGGCAGATAGCGCAGAAAGATGGGGCCTCGGGATTCTGGCCGTGGTCTTGGACGACGCTTCGATCCCAGATGTGCGACGCCCCGATTTTTCACATGTGCGGGGTCCCTGTCGGAGGGCACCAACTATACACCAACACCGATCCTGGCCCAGGATCACCCTGGGACCAGGATCGGTGTATATGCCTTCTTGCGCAAGGCAGGAGGGCGTATACACCGATCCTGGGCCCAGGGTGATCCTGGCCAGGATCGGTGTTGGTGTATAGTTGGTGCCCTCCTACCCTGGAAGTTCCGACGCTCCCCCCAGGACCGGTTTTTTTCATCCCGAGTCGTTGTTGGGGGCTCGGCGAGGGCCCCGCGAGGCCGAGATTACCCCAAAAAAACTTCCCGTCTTGCTCTCTCTTTTGCGGCGCGATCGTGACTGGGATTTCCCTGGCATTGTCGGATCTCCGGGAAGTCGGTGGGGGGCGCTTGGCTTTGGGGGACCCAAGAGGAGGTCCAGCTGAAAGGGGGTGGTGCAATAGATTTGGGGCAATTGTATTGCAAATGGATTGCGCTGGAGAATTGTATTGCATCGTATGGCAAGTAATGTATTGCACGCGAAAATCTAGCAATGTCTTTGCGCCCCGGAATGTGTTGACGCCCCAAAACGTATCGCAGCCCCCCAAATCTATGGCACCAGATCTATTGCACCACCCCCTTGTCGCTGGACACCCTTTTGGGTCAACCCGACGGGCCCCCCGCGGCGGCCTGGAGAGCGCAGCTCATCCCAGCGCGCGGCAGTCTGCGCACTTCCCAGCCACCCGGGGGACGCGCGCACCCTCATGCGCGGCGGCGCGCCCCCTCTGGGGGGGGGGAGCGCCGGGGGAGCGGGCCTTTTCAGAGGGCGGCGCGGCTTCTCAGAAGCCCTCCGGCCTTCTAAGGTCGGGATCCCGCCAAGGGCCAGCATCGTTTAACCAGAGGAGGAGGAGGAGGAGGAGGAGGAGGAGGAGGAGGAGGAGGAGGAGGAGGAGGAGGAGGAGGGGGAGGGGGGAAGGGGAGGAGGAGGAGGAGGAGGAGGGGAGGAGGAGGAGGAGGAGGAGGAGGACCCCCATCCCCATCCTTATCCCCTTCGAGACCCCCACCAAATTGCCACCCCAGTTGGGGGCGCACCCCTCGAAGCCCGGAGGGGACGGCCTGTATCCCCATCTAGGGGGCTAAATCGGCCAGTGGGGCCCAGGCCACGCCGCTGGGGATGGGGGTCAGATCAACGATGCTCAAAGGGGGGGGGGGCCAGGGGGGGTGAGTTCGATCGGTTTTTGCACCAAACCACCCAAAACAGATGCCCCCCAGCCACGGGCAGCTCCCGATAGTTTCGGACAGGTCGGGCATGCGGGGGGCATCTGGTCGCGGCAGTTCGGTGCACCAAGGGATCGATTTCATGCCCCCCCCCTCAAGGTCCCCCCCCCCTTTTCTGGTGGATCCTGATGAAAATCAGGAGGGAAAGAAACACAGAGAATTAATCGTCGACTCCCAGGAAAATATGGGGAAATATGGGAAGTGGTGGGGAAGACAGAAACCCAGAAAATATTGAAAAATATTGTGATTCCTGTTATTTGTGTGTATTTATTTGTGTGTTTGTGGGCCCCTTCAGAAAAGGCCGTCTCTCCAGACATGACCGCGTCGCAACAAAAAGAATCAGGACTGGAGGGGTTTGGCCATCTGTGGCCTCGGGGGGGGCCCTCGCTAAGCCTCATAAGCGTCAGAGAACGACTCGGGATGGAAAAACGGCCCTGGGGAGAGGGTCGGGGCTTCGAGGGACCCCGCAATTGAAAAAGTCAGGGCGTCGCATGTCTGAGTCCGTCTTGGGAGAAGGCTCCGAGAGCTTCTCCGAGGGCGCAAGCGCTTCTGAGGAGCCCCGCCGTCTTCTGAGAAGGCCTGGCCCTCCCACGTCCCCCTCGACGCGCCGCCAATCTGCGGCGCACACCCGGTGTTGTGCTGCTCCTCCTCCGCCAGTCAGAGTTCGGACACGTTCGGAATGGCGCCAGCCTCAGGGAGGGCGAGAGGGGATGAGCCAGGGGGGGAACATCCGGGTGGGCGCAGAACCGGGACAGATCGCTCCAGAGCGTTCCCGAACGCTCACAGAGCGTTCAGAGCGCTCTGGAACGGCCGCGGCTACGGATACATCCTGCAGAACCGCCAGATCTCAGAGATCCCCAGTTTGTCTTGGTTCGGTGTTGTCCCGGTCCTGGCTTTGCGTCGGGCGTGTCCATCTACAGGAGGAAGATCCCAAAAGAGTCAAAACATATTAGTCTGGGGACGATGTTGGAGCATTGTTGCATATCATTGGGGTCTGTTTTGATTTGTTCCCCACAAGAATCCCCCTGTAGGGGGGTCTTAGACATCGACCCACAAGACCGAAAAAAACACGAGGAGTGGACGTTCGAGCGATGGCAAGGCTTGGACATCCGATGATATCATGCTCTCAGTGCGCGGCCCCAGAGGTGCCGACCCCTTCCCCGCGGGCAGTGTCTCTTCCCTCGGGTTGGCCCATAAGGGGTCCCGCTGAGAGGGGGGTGGTGCAACAGATCTGGTGCAATAGATTTGTGGGGCTGCAGTACATGTGGGGCGTGCAATATTATTCTGGGGCGCAAAGGCATTGCTGGATTTTCGCGTGCCATCACTTGCAATACAATGCAATACTATTTTCCAGCGCACTACATTCGCAACACAACTGCCCCAATTCAGATGGACCCCCTTTTGGGTCACCCAAATTCCTGGATCCACTTTTGAGGGCCCCGGGGCCCGAAGACG